ATAAAAAAAGAAAAAGAAAGGAAGGAAGGAAAAAGGAAATGAAAGGAAAAGAGAAGAGAGGGGAAAGAAAGGGAGGGAAAAGGAGGGGAGAGGAGAGGAGAGGAGAGGAGAGGAGAGAAAAGAGAAACAAAGTATTTGTCTTGTACCAGGAACTCAACCTCCTGGGGTCAAGGCCAGTCCCTGCCCTGCTCAGATCTGACTATGCAGCAACAAGGGAATACAGGTGATGGTGACCTTGGCCAGCCACTGGGTCGCAGGGACACCGGGAAGCTGAGGGATCAAAGGGCCAATCCCTGCCTGGCTATGGCCTCACTTGCCTGTCCGGCAGTGCTTTTGAAGTCCTGGGCAGGGCAGCTCGGGCACCTGTCCTGCACCTGTTGTTGGGCCACTCGGAGTCCCCTGCTTGGCCACCCAGTCATAGTGACAACAGGAAAGTAAACATTCCCTCACCCCTAGGGCTGGAAAGTTGCCAGAGAGGAAGTGGGACTGCCAGCAGAGCCCCTCCAGGCTGGGACAGCCCGCCAGGGGTTATTTATACCCTGGCTGGGGGCATGGCCTCGATTGTGCCCTTACTCATCCTGCTAGGTGAGGAGAACTTTGGGGGCAATGGAGGGGAGAGGGGAAGAGTCTCAAGTAGGCACATTTAGACACAGCACCTGGGTGAAGGGAAGTTTTAGACATCTAGCCCCCAGGGACCCGGCAGCCACGATCCATACCCTCCACCCTTGCTTAGTTTGGCCTCTGTAATCCCGACCTTGCTTCTCTGCTGGGCCATGGCTTCCAGGGCCCAGCCCCAAGTCCCAGCTTCCAATTTGCTTCCAAAGCCCCAGGAATCCAGGCTCCAGCTCCCTCTGAGAGAAAGGCAGGAGACAGATCACTCAGCAGATGAGAAAACAGTCCCAGAAGCGGGGCAGGACTCTACCCTTAACATGACAATCTGCCCTTGAACTGCTCAGTCTAACCCTGGGCAGAGGAGGTAGAGGGCGCTTCTCACTGAGTCACCAAGCACTTACCATGTACAGAGACTGCAGTCACACATCCAGTTTACAGGGGAAAATATCAAGACACAGGGTGGGAAGTAATAGGCCAGTGTGTGTGCGTGCATGCGTGCGTGCGTGCGTGCGTGCATGTGTGCGTGTGACAGAGACAGAGACACAGAGAGACAGAGAGGATGTGCATGAATGAATTCCCATCCAGGTCCATGGTGGAAGGAGGGTAGGCCAATGGTAGACTGCCTGCCAGGAGGGCCAGGACCGGAAGGTGACTCGCACTGCATCAACAGGGCATATGACTCAGGACCCCTGGGATCTCTCCCAATGGCCACGGGATATGGCGTCAATGGCTTGAGTGACATAGGACACTCTGGTAACACAGGACATGATGCTTTAGTTGCTGTAGAAATGGTGGTGGGGGAAGGGAGCCCCCAGGAGGTCACGTAGGGTAAGAAAAGGTTCGTTTTCCTGGCTTGAGTTTTATAACCCCACTGGGAACACTACGGGCCTCTGAGCCTCATTCTGTACTCCTCATACTGAGCTTAAAAGTGACCCTGTGTGTTGGGCCAGGGATTTAGCTCAATGGTGCTGCGCCTGCCTCATAAGTGCAAGGTCCTAAACTCAATCCCCAGTACCAAAAAAACAATTTAAAAGTGACCCTGTGTGGAGGTCCTGCTTCTTGGAGAGCCTGACACTGGCATTCCTCCAATTCCCACCCAACCTGCACAGATAGATGGCTGCCTTGTGAGGAGTGGAGAATGGGATAGGTCCCCAAATCCCTCCCCAGGAAGCAGGCTTCCTTCTAGATGCTACTATCTCTTGGAGGATGCCCACTCTCCCTGCCACCCCATTTCCTAATGCTGAGGTTGGAAGCACAGAGGGTGATGGGAAGGCAGGAGCTTGCTGTTGACTCAGCCCAACCCACCCAGTCCAGCATGTCCTACAGAAGAGAGCTAACTCCCAAAGCATTCATCCAAACTAGCCTGCAGAAGGGGAAACTAAGGTACAGAAAGAAAGGAGGAAGGCTCTGCCTTATTAACCCATAGCTAGAGCACTAATGGTCGGGGCAATGGAAGCAAAGAGCCCCCATGCTAGTCCTGAATCTCTGGCTGCAGGCAGGAAGGCTCCTCAGTCAGAATGGTGCTTATCCCAGGGTCTCAGGTGAACAGTAGAATCAGAATTCTGTCTGCCCTCCTCCCCCAAACCATATACCACAGGGAAAAAGAATGGGGTGGGGCCAGGGTGGTTCAGTAGCCCTCAGTACCAACCCCTGACTCCAGCAGTGTCAGGAAGGGCCAGATGCTACTAGGCCCAGCTTCCTTCTGGAGACTTAGGCCAAGAGGATCCAAGAGTCTAAGATAGCATTAGTGGGTAAGGGCCTGATGCAGACCCAGCCTGGCCATGTCCTCAGACCAGTCCCACCTTCACCCCATTTGTCCCAAGGCCAGCCTTGTAGGAGTGCCACCCCTCCCCCATGGCCATGGCAATGTCAAGGAAGGGGCTAGGGCACAATCAAGGGTGTCTATGGATGTCTATTGATGCCAGGACCCAAACCTGGATAAGTCTTGACCTTGGGGAAGAGAGGAAGATGTGTCTGGGTGATACTTTCTGGGAAGGGTCCCCACCCCCAGGCTGGGCCCAGGTTGGGTGGGGCGGTATCCGGGAAGGAAGAGCTTATTCTGGCATCAGACACATCATTTCCGCCTCTAGGCTTCTCTCAAGGCCATTAGACACTCAGGGTCTTGGCCCAGAACAGCTTGGCATAGGTCCAGAGGCAGAATATTCACAGTGCCTAGGGGCATAATCCTAAGGGTATCCATCTCCTCCTCCCTGTGAAGCAGTGTTTGATGCCTCACTTTAAAGGCCAGGATAGCCCTGAGCAGGCGTGTCCACAGCCCTTGCTCAAAACCCCAAGTGGGAGGCTCTGCCCCTCATTGCCGTCTCTAGGACACCAGGTCTGAGGCCAGAGAAGCAGGGGCTGCTGCCAAAAGAGGGGTCTCGGAGTAGGGGTGGGTACCCCGCCCCCTTGGTTACAGCCCCACAAAGCTGTAGGCCCTGACTGACAGTGTTACCTCCTCCAACAGAGCTGGTGAAGGGCTGATAGACAGGTCCCTGCAGCCCAGCTCTGACCTCTGACCTCGAGTGGGCTGGTGGGGCCCTAATCCCTGAGCTGAAGAGAAATGAGACTGTGGGTGAAGGAAAGGGGTTGCCGCCACGGGTCTTTGTTAGTGCTTCTTCCACAGAAATACCTCCTGACCTTCCAATTTTCTGAGGAGGAGAACTGAGATAGTCAAGGGACCAGTAGCAGTGGCCATGACAAGAGAGGCAGGGCTAGGCAGTCCCTCAACCTCTTTCACTCTCCCAAAGCTTTGAGGGGCCCCAGAGGAAGGCCCAGGGGCTGGACTGGCTCCCAGCCTAATCCTCTTTTAATGAGCGGCCAGCCGGAAGGCCTCAGCCCCTGG